CCTGTTTCCCCGAAAATAAGACAGGGTCTTATATTAATTTTTGCCCCAAAAACACATTAGGACTTATTTTCAGGGGATATTTTATTTATTTTTTCATGTACAACAATCTACATTTATTCAAATAGTCATGTCATCTTCTGGTTGCTGCACAATTGTGGAGGCCAGGGTTTCACTTAACTAGGACTTATTTTGGGGGTAGGGCTTATATTACTAGCATCCTGAAAAATCCTACTAGGTCTTATTTTCAAGTTAGGTCTTATTTTGGGGAAAACAGGGTACTAGCTGAGTTATTTAAGGAACCATCTAAACCAGTGGATCACAACCTTGAATCCCCAGATGTTCTTGGACTAAAACTTTCAGAAGCTTTCACCACTAACTCTGCTGTCGAGGATTTCTGGGACTTCTAGCACATCTGAGGAACTAAGGCTGGGAACCACTGATCAAGACCCATTGTCTTAATGTCAGGATGCTCCATGAATACATGCCTGATGAAAATAATATCCAGAAGTCTTGGGAAAGATTGTTTTTTACCAAATGGAATTTTGGAAGGTGAAAAGAAATTGTGCCAAGTGATAGTGTTTTGTAGACAGGAAGGGTCTTTCCATTTTTCTGACAAATAATTTGATGTATGGGTCAAACTGGCTGCTGGTTTACAGGGGAGCTAGTGACATTACACTTGTGGGCATAACAAACAGTACTTTGGCTACTTCGTTGCTCATTCATTCTGCTCTCTCTGCTATCTGCTAGACATTGTATCAGGCCTAGGTTCATGTAATGTAGAACTAGAATAGAAAAGAACTCTACTTTCTGTAAAGTCTAAGTGTGTGCTGTGGTTATAAGAGATATATAATTCCAGGAGACACGAGACATGATCTAGGCCAACTTTGAATCTCTGTGCCAACATATATGATGTGGTGTTTTTGACATTTTTCCTAAATGCTGTAATGTTCAAGTTTAAATTAAATATGGAAGATAGCTAAATCAAAGGACTGGTTTTGTTGTGGTAGCAGCAATAAAAAAAGAAAAAAGGAAAGGAAAAATATTTTCTTTATTAAATTGACCACAGAAGGAAATATTTGGCTATAGATTTGAAAATAAGAAGACTTTGAACTAAATCTTATATGCCTGCCAAATCTTTGAAGTACATCTTATAAGTAGATATTGAATTCTCGCTGTTTTAGGTGTTTAAGAGTCAAAATGTGAAAATGCTTTCTGCAAAAAAGAAGGAAAAGAAGAAACCTTGACAGTGTTCTGTCATTTAATTTTTATGACTTAGTAAGAATAATGGACATTGGGAAGTGCACATAAAACATCTGAATTAGTGACATTTGTTCCTTTTTTTCAATGCAGGATATTAGCATACATATCTCACTATAGAAATACAGAGAATTATAGCACATTTGACCTGCTTCGTGTATTTCCAGTCCCTTCTTTTTCTGTGAGAGTCATTGTTGGGAAGTGTTGAAAAGAGGTTTTTCAGAGATCCAGGGATTCCCAGAGATATGAAACTGACAAAGTGACACCTTTAACTAGTCATTTTCCCTCTCAGACTGGCCTACCTCATAGAATTGTTTTGCAGAGGTGGAAGAGAGCCATATAGAGATAGCTGTGAGCTTATTGGAGGAACTGAATGTAAATAAGGAATAAACATTACTGGCTACTAGTCTGTTTTAGGCACAAATAAAGTGCAGGTTTATGCTCTGTGTAGACACTAGACTCTCTAAAGCAGTGGTTTCCAACCTTGGGCCTCCAAATGTTCTCATCACCTCTGCTGGCCAGGATTTCTGGGATGTAGACAGTAGACTCTCTAAAGGACTCCATCTCCCCATCCTTTATGGTCCTATGATTTTAAGGGGAGGCTTTTCTCTTTGTCCCATTGTACACAAATTCTTGGTGAGGACTTCAAAGAGAGCCTTCTTGGTGACTGCCTCAGGCAGAGGAACTCTTCTGAGGAAGGCAAGGCTGGCCTCCTCTCTGCTGTCCTTCCATCACAGTGAAATACTTTGGTCAGTGACTGGATACAGAAGAAGGTGTTTTTCCCCCTTTAAATACTGAGCACTATACTTTTCTTTTTTCTTCCTGCTCTACTATTAAATGTCCTTAAAATAATTTTCTGTATGTGGTTCCCCCTTCCCTCCTCCATTTTGCTATTAAATGCCTTTAAACTGTTTTAATAATTTGGTCTTATGTGCTTTCAATCCCATATGCTTTGATTGAATTCAGGTGTTCATCCCATCTGAGGCACATATGTAAGCTAGTCATGATAAAAGATGGGCACAAAACGAATCACAAAGCAAAAAGACCTACAAATTGGACCATGTTGTGGTTTGTTTTAAGGCACTTTGAAGAAATGTGCCTGCCGAGAACAAAATAAAACAGCAAACTATTATCGGTATTGGCAATCATATGCTTCATGATTTATGCAATTTGGGAGTTCCAGGACATAGAACAACCCCTGCATGAGTCTGGGATGCCAGTCTCACACCATGTTTTCCTCTGACTCTCCTCCTCACCCTCTCAAGATTGATGAAGATTGGATTTGGGACATCCAAGGTATAGCCCCCCAAAAAACAGGTTCACCCAGGAAATTGACCTGTTTGGGGGAATATAACTCAGACATCCCAAATCCAATCTTCTGGATTTGGGACATCCAAGATATAGCCCCCCCAAAGCAGGTTCCCCCAGGAAATGGACCTGTTTTGGGGAATATAACTCAGTCATCCCAAATCCAGTCTTTGCCGAATGTGAAGGGAGTGTGGATGAGAGTCTGCGGAAGAATCACTGTGAGTTTGGCATCTCTAACTCCTGTGGGGTCCATTCTACCCCTCCCAGACGTCCCAAATTGCACAAAAGGTCCATTTTGATGGTGGGGTCCATTCTACCACTCCCAGAAGTTCCAAATTGCACAAAAGGTCCATTTTGATGGAATGTTTGTCCATAGTTCATGAATAGCGAAGAACCATGAATCATAATGAACTGCCATTTTCCTGGTTCATGCCCATTTCTAGTGATGACAAGAGTCACACAAAGAGCCAGAAATATTAGGCATTCTGATCCATTCCAAGATTTCAGTTTTAAGCTTAGTGGGCAATGCATTTCCTTTTATGTATCCAATCTTACCTTCAGCCCATATAGCTGTATTTGAGACAAGCAGAGGAATGGTAACATCCACAGGACTGGAGACTGGGGCATGACCAAACAACATCACTAGATGTTATTGATTCATTGCTCCACATGTCAGCCTGGGACCTTCCCTGTGCTTATAATTTTGAGCTGGCTTGCAGTCTGCATCTTACCTTCTTCCATTATGTTCCTTTAAGGGCTGGCTAAGGGACTGTGGAGAAGGTTGTAGAAGTTCCCTGGCAGTCTATTTGAAGCGTAGGTTGACATTGTTCTGCTTTTTCTAGCTGAGGTTGACCAGGCTTCCTGGGCTAGCCCAGAGCTGAGCTCCTTTGTTACTGTGTCTATCTGCATGTGCACACTCATTAACTGGAAAAAATTATATGCCTCTAATAAAATTATTATTTTTTAAAAAATATGTGTTTCAGTTCAGTGTACAGAAAGAATATATTAAATGCAAAATCAGAGATATATTTCCACTGTCTAAGCTATAGGCAGAACTCTCCAAAGGATAATGTATTTTCTCATTACAAACATTATTTCCGAATCCCACCATGTGGAGAAATAAACAAGTTGTCATTCCTGCCATGTTCACAACAGCTGAACATGGGCCCCTGGGGCTCAGCAGCTATCTTTCTGAGAACAGTTGTATGTGGGACTTTCCAGCGTAGCTAGTCTGAAAGCAGCTCTCAGAAATTAATTGACAAGAATTCAGTGTAACAGGAAATAACAGGCTATGATGTGGTGGACCTGACTCGTGCGCATAAAGCTTTGCATATATGGGATCTTCTCTACAGCATTATATAAGCACAGGTTACTTGTTGTAGGCAAGAAAAATGCTGAGAGCACTTTATTTCGTATGGAACCTAAAGTCCGTATGTGTGCAAACCACACTGTGTGATATACAAAATGCTTTCAGGTACCCAGGGGGATTCATAGAACAAATAAAATGAGATAAAAGAAAAGAACAGTCTGAGTACATATGAAAAGAGGGATCCCTCGCCCTCTTAAAATATTTTTTCTTGAAAATGTGGATAAGAGAGTCATTTATGTGGAATTCAGTGAAGTTAGGAGACACAGGCCAAAGGCTTTGAAGTAGCAATAGCCCTTGGAAATACTTGCCAGCTTTTACATTGATCAGCACATTCTTTCTGATGGGATTCTGTTTGGATTTGCACTAAAGTAATTTTAAAACATTGCGTTGTGTTTAGACAAAACACAGCTATATCACAAGTTCTTGTAAGTACAGGTTAACAGGTCTGCAGGTATTAAGTAATATAATCCATTACTTTACAGTGGTGCCTTGCTAAATGATGCTAATCCGTTCCACTGAAATAGCTGTTTAGCGAAATCATCGTCTAGCGAAAAGCATTTCCCCATTGGAATGCATTGAAACCTGTTTAATGCATTCCAATGGAGAAGAATCGTTGTTGTCTAGCGAAGATCGGCCATAGGAAAGCCGCTTTGTGAACCGCCAATCAGCTGTTTAAATAGCTATCTTGCGAAGCTTAGGTCCCCAAAACACCCGTTTTGCGAGCACGGATGGAGCTGTCAAAATTGTTGTCTAGCGAAAATTGGTTTGCGAAGCAGGGACCAAACATTGTCCAGCGAAATTCCCCCATAGGAATAACTGTTTCACGAATTGCTATAGTGATTGCAAAAAGTCAGTGTCTAGCGAAAAACTGTCATGCGGGGTATCTGTCTAGCGAGGCACCACTGTATTCCATTTAAACTGGAATGACGTGAAGACTGGGAATATCTTGCAATGCTATTTTCTCTTTGGAAACTTATATGAAACTCTTCTGTGCAGCTCAAGCAAGCCTGTTGGTCCTAGTGTTTGAAATATGATACAAAAACCATATTAAAATACTGCTGAACATTAACCAAGATTAAAAACATTCCTTAAGTATCTCACATACCTTAAAAACCCTATTAGAGCTGTCATATGTTGGGTGAAATTTTATGGTACATTAACAATAACTACATGAAATTAATCCAGTGTGGAAATATATTACAGTGATTCGCGTAGCTTCTGAAGCCATTTATAACTCAAGCAACCAGACTCCTCACCATCTGAGGGTCTGATAATCCTATCAGAGACAGAAATATCAGGAACAAGCTCAAAATTATGCGACATTCTCATTGACTCTCAATATAGCTTATGGATGAATTCTAAATTGATTTGCGAAAGAGACTCAGAAGTATAAATAAATAATGAAATTCTGAATGGTATGTGGAATAAAGGCACATTTAATTTCTTCTAAATATGGGGAACATTGTATCAAAATTTCATATAACATTTAAGTTATATTAGCAAATATTTCAAGTTTAAAATGTTGAAGTCATTTTAAATGTAACATGAATTGAAATCCAGTGGTGGATTTGCCCTCCAATATACATGCTCTGGTCAGCCGTATTCAAAAAAAAAATCAGTCTATCATAAAATCCCCTCTGTTAAGATTGCTTGCTACATTTAATGATGAAAATGAGCACCTCTTATTTCATAAGTAAATATATTTTCTTTCCTATTCTGTAGGAATAGAAATCTCTTTAAAGGGGGAGGGAAGTACTAATTTATCAATGCATCATTGGTTATTCAATGCATCATTGGAATCATTGTTTATTCAATGCAGTGTCAGCAGGAAAAATAACTTTCCATATTAAATAAAATGAAAAAAAAACCCACACATGCACAGAATAGATTATTTGCCACAGGATTCATTTTTATTAGCAACTCCCATATCAATATTCTTTACACTCATCTGGTTACACATGTTGATGGATGGTGAGATGTATTGATTCATGGGGTTGACATATAAATGACATATATAAGATACTTTTGTTTACTGACTCATATATCTGTCTCTGAGATGAACTGTAGTGATAATGTATTCAGCGTTTGTCATTATTCATGCTATGCTTAAAATACTATCCAGGCCAACATAAGCTATTATTCTCAAAGTTGTGCACTTATTCACCCAGTTTAAATACATTTCCACTTGCACTGAACATCTATAATCCCGTTCATGTGTACTTTTTAGAAGCTCCCAGTGAACTCGTTGGAATGAAGCAGGCAGATATATGGGTTGGTTACCAACCAGAGGTGGATAAATGGTACATTTCAGACGTTTTGGACAACAAATCCTATTAGCTTTAGCTAATGGTGAAAGGCTATAGGAGTTGTAGTCTAAAACAACAGCTAGAGGGCACAGGGTGGCCTACCATTCAGAAATGAATGAGGAAAGAACAGGAGTTGTTCAGTTTTGAAGGTTTGCTGCTGAAATCTGGAGTATAGAAAACTTCCTTTGTTTATTCCAGCATTGATTCCTAGTCACCGTCTGAAGAAGCACACTTGTGTTTCTGTACTTGGGGAATGCTATTCATTCTTTTATCTGTTTAGCATAAAATTTGCCCTGTTTCATTAACTGTAACAATTGCATTTCTTTAAAAAAAACTTCATCCAATAGAATAACCGGCTTCGGAAACATGCTTTTGAGCTGAAGATGAATGATTTGACATATTTTGTGCTGGCAGCTGAAAATGAACAAGATATGGATGAATGGATTTTTACACTCAACAAGATCCTACAGATAAATCCAGAAGGGTCTCTTCCAGAGAGGAAGAGTGCAGACATCACAGATCTGAAATTTGGTAAGAAAGAATGTTTTTATCATTTGAAGTATGGCAATGTGTCGTCTATTATAAGCAATTACAGTACATTGATCTCCCGATTGGTGGGTTTGAATCCTCATACTGGAAGGCCTTGTTTGTTAACTGTATAGTGTGAATCTATTTTAAAGTTATAAAGTTTTAACTATGCAGCTTCCTGTGGACTCCATGGGAACAAAATGTGTGTTAAACTGCTGTGTGCCAAGTAGCAGTGATTCCACTTTGGACATTTAATTTTCATTTAATGTATATATTATCATGGGAGACCATAAACTGAACATATTCTGAAAATTCAAAAGGCTTTGTGCTGGTACAAAGCCTCTTGACCTCAGGTACTATGATTCAGTGTGCATTTGCATCAGGAGAGACACAGTCAGAGCCTTTAGCCATAATGCTTCCTGTGATGCACTTCACCAATGAGTCATTGTTCCACAAGAGGGTAGCAGCTTATGTTCATTAGGCAGTCTATTGCTGGAGAGGTTCCTTGAGAATCAGTGTTTTTGATGGGGAAAAATTATTTAAAGTGTTTCTATTATTATGCCCCATCATCACACATAGAATTCTCTGTGTTTTTAAAACTCTGTGATAATGTTGCCCTATATATTTCTCTGTTGAGTCATGTCCTGGTCGCACTGGGGTCAGTCATTAGAGTAGAATGAATGCAAGCAGGCTGTGAGTTCCTCTCACATGGTGCTTTCTGTGTCAGATTGTCCTTAAAGTATCAGTAAAAAATTAAACTTTACTCATGCTTTTTCTGCATTTAAGATTCAGAAGATATGTCAGTGAATTATGATTGCCCACAAGAAGAAACTGATTCTTCAGAGAACTGTTTGCATCCAGATTTCTCTAAAGTAAGAAATCATTGTAATTAAATCTCTCTGTGTGTGCATGCTTCATTTCCCCCAATTCACAATACCAACGTGGTATTTCTGTTGCCTCTGAACATGATGGCATTACTGCTAAACACTTGTCTATGTATTCCAAATAATCGAAGAGTAATGTGTATAGCAGTTGCTCAGCTGTCGTGGCAAGATGTCATAGAATTTCAGCCTTACCATCCAACCTAGCACATCATACATGCCTAGCAAGAGAAGTTAGAACTGCCTGGCAAGGAACAGCTGTCATCTAGAAATATGTCACTTGAAGACATCCTGAAGCTATCAACAGAGCATGGGAGTGGGTGGAAAGTAGGCTCCTCAGGGACCAAGTAAGATATGACTTAGCCACAAAACACGCTAAAGTCATTTTGTAATCTCTGTGGTTAACCTGAGGCTGATAACTGTTAGGGAGTAATATGCAGTATAGTAGAAGGCACCTGTCTTGTTGGCTTAATGCTAGAAGCTGACCTATTGATTCATTCACTATCATCATGCCAAGAGAAGCTTGCTTGGTTCCAACACTGTGGTCTTTTGGGTGCTGGCTGAGACTTCAGGCTTCTTGCTTTCATGCTTCTCAAATTCCTTCTGCCAGTGTTTTCTGCTGGTGGTTTAGCTTTTGGTGCTATTTTAATTGTTTACATTTATATGGCTGTGGTTCTAATTTTTATTTGTAAACTTTCTGAATATCTATATACTGACTGGCAACACAGAAATGTTAAAAAAGCAGTGCATGAACTTGTATTCAATTGAAATTTAATAGTTTGAAATCATTATATGAAATAAATAAAGATTCCAATAGAAATCTTTTACCACATTGGTAGCAAGATTGTCATTTTGGTTTCGTTCAAATAGCAGTCTGGTTTTGAATAGAGCCCGTTGTCTCCACAATTAAACTACTAATTATAATTGTAACCATTATAACACTTTTGCCACCCGCACAATTTCATGTTACTGCACTGGTGGGGACCATAAGCTCAGCGGAAGCTCAAGAGAACAAAGGCAATAATTAGCTGCTGTATCTATTTGTATTTACCTGTTCCATTATTACTGAACACACACACATGCACACATTTATACAGTGTATGTAATTGTTTACTGGTTCATCTACAGTTGCTTGTTACAGCTGGGGGTACAATATATATATTTAAGTTATAATTAAAGATGTTGTAGGGGATTAAGCATAATGAGTAGTGTGAAAATGAAATACTCAGAATTCTTGAGATGTCTAGGTTGTGCATTTCAGCTTCAGTGAGAAAAAAAAGCTTGGGGATTTAGAATTTGTTTTGCAATCTAGCATTCAAACCAAAGGAAAATTAAGGTAGGGAGAAGGAAGAGAGGGAAGGGGAGAGAAAGAAAGAGTGCAGAGTATCACTATTGTATAGTTGAAGGGGAAAAGCTCTCATATTAGAAGCATAAATATTTTTATATCATGTGCACTAAGATGTTTACCTGGAGATAAAAAGACACTGTCGTTTCAGTACCTCACAGAAACAGAAGAAACTGTTCGAGCATCTCGAAATATGGATAGGCTGAATTTGTTCTCCCTCGATCCTGACATTGTTGTAAGTATAACTCTCCTAAATAGCCGGGTAGCCTAAAAGCTATAGAATGTCTCACTGATAGCAAACTATTATTTATTTATTTATTAATTTTTTTTTTAGCCTGCCTTTCTCTTTAAAAAGGACCCAAGGCAGCTTACATCATTGAAAGACATTATTTAAAGCTGAAAACAATGAGTATACAACAGTGGTTTACATCATTAAAGGATAATATTTAAAGCTGTATTTAGACTATCCCATTCTTGGTGTTTTACCTTTTGCCAGAGTTTGGGAAATTTGCTTTTTTGACAACAGCCAGTCAGGGATCCTCTTTATATATGTATTCTCAGCCGTTGGGTATCTCTGGTTCTTCTGGTGCATCCCTTCATTGAAGTTGAGGCCTTCGATCCAGTTCTCTAAGATGTCGCCCCCCCCCACGAATGCTACTTCTCTGCTACATCTGGGAGCAGATCTCCCATCTCCATCTCCTGCTCCATCTTCTCATTTCTTTCTCCTACTGGAGTCTGAGTCTTTACCTCCAGTGCCTCCATTCTATCCCCTAGTTTCCAAGGGCTCCCTTCCTTCTCTTGGTATCACTCATCCAGGTCTGAGTTTTCAGCCCTCACCACCCCTGGAGAGTCATCTAACTCAGCTTCCTCCAGGTCCACTAAGGGATTCACTGTCCAGAACTCAATGAAGTCATTGAAGGTGAGATGACCCACCCACAGGAGGTCTTGTGCTGCTGTCACCATCATCACAATACTTACTTCAAATAGCTAATTATGTCATTGTTCTTATTCTAGGCCTTGAATCCTCAAAGAAGGGAATTTGCAGGAGCAGATTCATTGCTCAAATCCTTTCTTGAGAAAGATGCCAAGCGGATCATGATAATGTGCAAATCTCTTAGTTTGAATCTTCAAGCCTGTGTGTCTGAAAATGAAAATGATCCAGTTACCAATGTAAGTGTAAAAGAGGGAACAAGATATAGAAAATGTAAAGTGAGGTCTTGTTTTGTTTGCCTGAGAGAGTGTTCCATGACCTAGGCTCAGTAAAATGACATTTCATTTGGCACATTTATTTTTCTTCTAATTCCTCTCTATATAAAAAGCCAGAACATGTCAAACAGATAGAGATAATTTCTTTTGATAAAGCTACTTTTTGAAGCATAATGTCTTTAGCTTTACTGGTTCAACACAACAGAAAACAGTAATACTACTTCTGCTTGTTTATCACAACTGTTGTTTTAATATAAATATATTCTTTTGAAACTTGCAAGAAGCTGGCTGTAATCAGTAGAGAAACTGGTTACATTGGACTTTTGGCCAAGTTGTATATGTACGGACTGCAGTATAAGTATTACTTGGAGAATCCAACAAATAGTGTATTTGTTAACTGTAACGAATCTGAAGAAGAGGAGTACAGGATAAAGAAGCTTTTGCCAAATAAAACATTCTGGTTTTTCAGCTGCTATGAGATTTTTCAGTTGCAATAGACTATATGCAATAGACTATATTCTAGTATAGACTATATTCTAGCTCTATGAGATTTTTCAGTTGCAATAGACTATATGCAATAGACTATATTCTAGTATGTTTACCCCACTAGAAGCTTCAAAATAATCAGCTAGAGAAAGCTGTTTGGTCAAGAATGATAAAATGCTAGTTGAGAAGCTTCAGATTTTATCAGTTCCTGTGTTCAAGATGGGTGAATTAAAAGAACGTCCCACTAGCTTCTGACAGTTCACCTTCAATTCCGGGCAAGACATTGATTCCCTTCCTTCACAGATGGTATCACTGGTGTTTATAGTAATCAGCAGCCTTGTGGCAGAGTGAAGGAGCAGTCAGAATCACAGCTATGGTGAGAATGGGAAGAGCATGCAGGGTTTTTGTTTTTTACTAATTCAGAATTTTGAAAAAGTGTGATGCAAATAAACCAGCATGTGCACTTAAACAGGAGTGAGTGAAAAGCTGGTACCATCTGGTATGAACTGCTGCTCGTTGGCCTTTGCCTGTTTCTCCAAGCCTAGCTGAAAGCAGAGACTGGAAACATTAAGGGATTTTTTGGGGGGGTGGTACTTGAAACTACTCTCTTTGGGATCCTGAGTGATCTAGCTTAAAAATGTTTCCTGTCTCTGCTAGAACAGACAGTGGCAAGGACTCTAGAAAAAAAGAAGAAAAAAGGAAGAAAAACAGAAGAATCCACTGGATTCTATCATACTATTAACTGCCCGAGATAGTGCCGTGGGCTAATAGAGAAGCAAACAAACAAACAAACAGATTCTCTTTGCAGCCAGTAAGTTTTGAGCCAGTTTGAATGATTTTATTGCAGATCAATAAGCTGACAACAAGCATTCCCTCCCCTCAGTCCTCGTAGAACCTTTGTGTACAAATTGAGATTAGAATCGGAATTTGTCTCTGAGTCAGGATGCCCAGGTTTCAGCAGTGGCCAGGAGTGCCATTGCACAGGTAAAACTAGTGTGCCAGCTATGTTCCTCAAGAGGTCAGAACTGACCATGGCGACAGATGCCTTAGTTACAATTTGGCTGCCTTACTGGAACACGCTCTACATGAAGCTGCCTTTAGAAAGTGTTTGGAAACTCTAGCTGGTCTAAGATGTAGCAACCCGACTGCTGACTCAGGTTGGTTATAGGCATCACATAAGATTCCCTAAAATGTAGCAACCAGATTGCTGATTTGGGTTGGTTATAGGCATCACATAAGATTCCCCCTGTTAAGAACATAAGAAGTGCCCTGCTGGATCAGGCCAAGGGCCCACCTAGTCTAGCTTCCTGTATCTCACAGTGGTCCCACTAGATGCCTTTGGGAGTACACAAGACAACTAGATACTGTACTTGTCTCCTGATACCACTTCCCTGCATCTGGCATTTTGAGCGGTTACAGCAGCTCCATTGGCTGCTGATCTTTTTCTGGACACAATTCAAATCCTGGTTTTAACTTATAAAGCCCTAAAGGACGAGTCCAAGAGATAATGGGCACAGACAATGTGTATGGTTATTTCTCAACTTGAGGCAATACATCTCCAAAAGTCATACTATTTGTGCAGAATATTTTTTTTTGATATTTTGAAAAGTCTGTTACAGCAGCCCCGTTGGCTGCTGATCTTTTTCTGGACACAATTCAAATCCTGGTTTTAACTTATAAAGCCCTAAAGGACGAGTCCAAGAGATAATGGGCACAGACAATGTGTATGGTTATTTCTCAACTTGAGGCAATACATCTCCAAAAGTCATACTATTTGTGCAGAATATTTTTTTTTGATATTTTGAAAAGTTTTGCAGATTTAGGACTTGTACCCCCCAAAAAATATACATTTCTCGGAGACCTTGATTTATTAACACAGGAGTCTGCTTTATCACAGCAATTAGGTTTGCTATGGTTTCTATGAAATTTATATTCACTTGCTAAACTGGTCAGGACTGTGAAGAATTTACCTTGGGTAGAGTTCAACATCCACAGCCACCCCCTTGCAGTGTGGGAGCTGTAGTCCAGAGCAATTTAATCATCAGCACTTAAGACTGGTCTGCTCCTTTATCTTATCTATCAAATAGTGCACATTTAATCAAAAATTGGAGCTGACTGAAGCTGATCACAGTATACTGTAATGCTTATGATGCTAAAAGTAGCTATGCAGAGTGCCTTGGCAGTCACTCAGATTTTCCTATGCACTGCCTCTGTACATCTGGATGCATTTCATTTCTTTTGCAGTATGCAACAGGAGACTTAAAGGTACAAGAAAGTGAAGTGAAAATTTTTGAGTGGGTTGCACAAAATATGGAATGCAGGCATTCCATATTTTTGAATTCTCGCTTATTGATATAGGAAAAGTTGGGAGGGGGGGGAACCTAGTAACAAATGGGGCAGTCTATGCCTATACCATTTATCCTTCCATTACTACTACTACTACTACTACTACTACTACTACTACTACTACTACTACTACTACTACTACTACTACTA